GGTATTTTCAGAGAAACTTGGGATGAAAAGTGAACCAGCAGACTTAGGAGGACAATTTATACACTAAGAACAATATTGGAAAGACAAATAACTTTGAGAGACTAAGGAATTGTGATCAACACAATGACCAACCACAATTCTAGAGGACTCATGATGAAATTTATTTGCAACGGGTTTTGTTTTTCTTACTTTCTCAATGGCAGAGGGAGGAGATTAGAGAGAAAAAATGTGGATCTGAAAAAATTTGTTAATTATAATTAAATATGGAATTTAAAATGCTTGTTGATAGACTGCTTGCCTTTCTGTGTGATCATGGGCAAATCATTTAACCTCTGTTTCCCTATCTATAAAATAGGCATTAAAATACTCGTCGTGCCTACCTGCATTTGATGGACAAGTTCGGTGAAGAAAATATTGTGAAAACCACTTTTATAACCACTGTTATTAACGAGAGTAGTTATTATTAGTTGTATGGGGAGTAGAAGATGCAATTACCTGGGATAGAATTTGAACTAAAATTGAATTAGCAGTCATTGTACTGGCAGAGAGCATTGGAATATATTCATTGCTCCTCCAAACAGTGAATTTTGTATTTCATTTGAAAGATTCAGTCATTCATTAAATCCTGCCTCCCTTCTTCCCCTCACCCCTCATCCCCTAACTCCCTCCCTCAAGTAGGGAAGTCCCTTCAGAATCTGCCAGGCACAGCTTCTGGCAAAGGTGATTCAGTCGAGTGACAGGGATGGTTCAGCCCGTTACCCAGACAAGGAAAACAAAACTTTCAGAGGGGGAGGGAACACACCAAGGTGCCAAAACTGTGAGTCAGTTGCTGTACTCCTTCCATCCGGCAGAAAAGGTGGAGTGTATCAATAATAAGAAAAAGAAATAAACTCTACCTCACTCCACCCTAGTTTCTTCAGATACCTCATTTAGAGTAGTTGACTCCCACCAGAAAGGTCCCCTCCCATCTCATTACATGCCCAAGACTCCCATCTCAATAATAATAATAATGATAGTAATTAGGACACTTTGAATTTCCACAGCATCTGTCTACTAAGGAGTTCAAAACAATTCCTGTTCATGTAGGACACTGGATAGCCCCAAGACAGAGAGTAGAAGAGTCTGTGAAGGGACATGGTTGTTGTTTGTCCTTCCTTCAAAGAGGACCCTGACACCGGGAAGTGATACCATGACATACAAGTGAATTCGATTTAAGTGAGGGAGGATTGTGCAAATCCACCAATCTTACTTTCTTCTCCAAAGCCACCTGGGTCTAATGGCAAGATATAGATAATGAAGATTGGAGATAGCCCTGGAGGCAGTGGGAGACCTTGGCCTTTTTAAACGAAGGTCTTTAACAGGTCTCAGTTTGATTGATGCCCATCCAGTGATTGACTATGTAAGAAATGAGACGGAGAATAGCTTCTTTTACCTAGTTTAAAAAAAATGAATCTGGAAGGGGAAGACCCTTAGGGTTTCTGGCCAAAACAGAAATAATTGCTATTTACTTTCACTCTGAGCCAATCAGGGCCTAAACAATGACCAAGTGGAGGTTGGCCTGGGACTTATAGTTGGTCAATCAATAAGAGCCAGATTTGGGTTTAAGGCAGGGTCCTAGAAAAAACAATCTAGCCAGTAATCCCCAAGATATCTTGCTAAATTTCAGGCATCAAAATTTACATTCCTTTAGGCAGAGCAGGACTTCCTGACTCCAGGTCCAGTGCTCAGCCCTCTATACCACTTAACTGCCTCAGTCTTAAAAACAAATTTACCTGACCTGGGTGAGCCTAGGATTTTGTTGGCTATAGCATGAGGCAGTGGAAAAAGTAGTGGATTAAATGTCAGAGAAGTTGGATTCAAATCCTGGTTCCGCCTCTATTGCCTTCTCATATGTAAAATGGTCGGGGTTGCATTGGATGTTCAGTACAGAACTCACTATCTTCCTCCCCACTTCTCCCTTCCTGCCATTCCTATCGTTGTTGTTTGTCCTTTGTTTTTGAAGAGGATCAATAATATCACAAAGCAATGTCTTGACTCATTCCTGAATTGAACTGAAGTGAGGCAGAGTTCCATAAAGTCAGCCTCACTCTCTTCCTGAGTCATCAAAGTCCAGTGGCAGGACAAAAGTCAGGTGGACCGGCAATGGCCCAGGATACAGTGGATGACCTTGGCATCTTTGATATACTTCTTAGCACCTGATTTAGCAGCCTTTGTAGCCCATGGAGGATAACCAAAGGGTCAAAAACCTGTTGGTGAGTTGGGGGGAGTCTACCCCATGCATGAGAAGACTTCCCCTGGAGGAATGGGTGGGTGAGAATAATGTGTTCCAATGGCTCTGCCATCCCTATTACTGTAAAAGGCAACACCATCCTCCCAGTCCCTCAGGCTCACTACCCAGGAGTCATCTTGGATTCCTCACTATCTCTCACTCCCCATATGTGAGCTGTTGCCAGGACCTGTTGATTTCACCATTGCAACATCTCTCTAATACACCTCCTTCTCTCCTCTGATGCTGCTACCTCTCTAGTGCAAGCCCTCATCACTTCATGCCTAGGCCACTGCAATAACTTCCTAGTGGGTCTGCCTGCCTTAAGTCTCTCCTCAGGCTAGTCCATCCTGTCAAACTGATCTTCCTAAAGCACAGGTCTGACCAGGTCACTCCTCTCCTCAACAAATTCTAATCCTATCCTCTAGGACCAAATACAGAATCCTCTATTTGGCATTCAAAGCCTTCGTAACCTGGCCCCCTCCTACCTTTCCAATCTTTTCTCACCTTACTCTCCAACACATACTTATTCCTCAATCCAGTGACACTGGCCTCCCGGCTGTTCTCCGAATAAAACACTCCAATCTAGGCTCTGGGCATTTTCTCTTGCTGTCCATTCTCAACTCTACCTACTGACTTCCCTGGCTTCCTTTAAGACCCAACTGAAATCCCTTCTTTTATATGAGCCTTCTCCAACCCCTCTTAATTCTAGTACCGTCCTTCCGTTAATTATTTCCTATTTAGCCTCTATATAGCTTGCTTTGTATGTATTTGTTTGCATGTTATCTTTTTAGATTGTAAGCTCCTTGAAGTCAGGGATGTCTTTTGCCTCTTTTGTATTCTCAGTGTTTAGCATGGTGCCTGGCACAAAGTAGGCTCTTTAAAAATGTTTATTGATTCATCAATCAATAAAAGGTCCTTAGAAGGTCCTTCTGGTCCCTTCCAGGCCTACATGGTCTGTTCCCATGTTCCTCAGACACAGATTCTAGTGGGGTATGTACCTGAAATCTGTCCACTTTTGGACAATTCTAATAATTAAAACCCTTCAAAAGTAGAATCAGCTATGTTCAAGCAACAAATATTTCTCAAACACTGTCAGGCATTTCCCTAGATAGTGGAGATACAGAGATAAAAATGAAATCCCTGCCTTCATGGAGTTGACATTCAAGGTGGGGGAGGGGGGAAGCAAAATAGATACATTTTATATATGAATCAACACAAAATACATACAAAGTAAATACAAGATAGTTAGGTAGCACTTGGAAGAACCGGGAAAAACCCTACTGTTGAAGGCTGTTCTTGAGATGAACTTTGAAGAAAGCCAGGAATTCTAGGAGGTAGAGATAAAGAGGGAGGCTGTGGAAATGTATGGAGTTGGAAGACAGTACATTCAGTATGAGCCAGTTTGGCTGGTCTATGGGGGGCATGAAAGGATTATGTGCAATTAAGGCTTGGAAAGTAGGTTCACAAAGTGAAGGGTTTTAAATGCTAAACAGAGTAATTTGCATTTTGTCCTAAAGCCATTAGAGAGCTTTTGGAGCCGTGAACAACATCGACAATCCTGCTTTAGGAACATCACTTTAGCAGTTGTGTACAAAGGATGGATGGCAAGTTTTCAAGATTCTGTGACGTTTGGGCTAGGATCTCTGGTCCTCAGTTTCCTCATTTGTGAAATGAAGGGGATTGACTAGATTGCCTGTTCTCAAAGTGTGGTCTGGGAGTCCCTGAGACCCTTTTAGGGGGATCTGAGAGGTCAAAACTATTTTTGTAACACAGATGTTTTAATTTCTAACAAGGTAAATATTGATAGATCTAACCTATATAAACAAAAGCTCTTTGGGGTCCTCAAAAAAAAATGTAAAGGAGCCCTGAGACCAAAAAGATCATAAATTTAGGCCTGGGAGAAGCCTAAGAGGCTATAGCATCTAACATGTTCGGTTTACAGTACAGGACTCTAAGGTGCAGAGTTTAAATAATCTGCCCAGGGTGTCACAAAGCTAATAGAATCAGAGGTGGGATTTGAACCCAGGTCTTTTTATTCTAGGTCTGGTGGTAGTACCCGATTCCTTCCCACTGTCTTTTCTAGTCCTTAATTCTCTGATCCTGTATGCATTTGCTTAGTCCCTTTTCAGGGTCTCTGACATTTGGTCAATCACCCCCGGAGGTCTTCTTGCTCATTCCTATCCCCACTTTCTATTCTTACTCTGGAGAGAGCCTCTCCCAAAGTCCCTCATGAGTAGTCCTCTCCTCTCTCTACCATTTAGAGACCTTTGGTATCATGGTCCCTTCTGGCCTCAGTTTCCTCCGCTGTAAAAGGGGGAATTGCATTAGATTTCTATGATCTCTTACTCTCCTGCCCTTTCCACATCTACTCTCTCCATTCCCAGAGCATTCCCTTCTCTTCCTCCTTCCCAGGCCACGCTCCTCCCCCGCCCAGTGGCTCCCGCAGCCCCCCTCCACCTCTCTCCTTCCCGCTCCTCCTCCTCCGTCAGGGACAAGGTGGGGGAGGGAAGCCAGGAGAGAGGGGAAAAGGGAGGGGGAGTCTCCGGGAGTTGTGATTGGTCAGCCATGGCACCGGCGCCCCCTTTTGATTGGCCTGCGGGGCGCGGGTCTGCAGGGTAGGGTGCGGCTCGGAGGCCCCGCCCCCTGACCCTCCCCACTCTGAGGACGAGGAGGAAGTGGCTTCCCCTTTCCCCGCCCTCGCCCGCAGCCCCCTCCCTCCCTGCTGGCTCGGCTCTCGGCTCGGCGGTGGCGGTGGCGGCGGCGGTGGGAGCGGGTAGGTGGAGGCTGCGCTGGGTCGGGGGCTTTCCCCCCCTCCTCCCACGCCCCCTCTCGGGGTTCCGACCCCCGCTGTCCCTATCCCTGGGTCCCCTCAGGAGGAGCTGCGGGGCTGGGCGGTTCTGGGCGGGGTGGGCTGAATCCGGGCCCCCGGGGCGTGACCCGAGGCGGGACGGGGCTCCCCCGGGAGGCTGGGAGGGCGCCCCCGGTCGTGATCCGAGGCGGGGAGGGACACTCCTGAGGCGAGACTCTAGGCGAAGACGGGACGCCTTTGAGAGGAGGGGAGGGGGCGCTCCCAGGGCGTCTCCCTGGGCGGGGAGGGGGCGCTCCCGGGGCGTCACCCTAGGCTGGAAGAGGGTGCCCCTTGTAGGAGGGGAGGGGGCTCCCCCGGAGCATGACCCTAGCGGGGACGGGGCGCCCCTGGGAGGTGGGGAGGGGTCGCTCACGGGGCGTAACTCGGGGCGGGGAGGGGGCACCCTTAGAATGGGGAGAGGGGCCGGGCGCGGCCGGAGGGGTCAGGGGGCGCCTTAGGGCGTGGCCTGTGGGGGGGAGGGTGCGATTTCCCGGGATCCGACTTCAGGGGATCTTTGCCTTGGGGGTCTTCACTTGCAGAACTCCCGGGGGCCCTTGGGATGGGGCTGAGCACGTGGGCCCTGGACGGGGGTGGGGGGAGGGTCCCTTGTGATGAGCCTTGGGGTGATTTGCTCTGCGCGGATTAGGAATGGGGGCGGGCTGTATTGCCTCAAGGAAGGACCTTCAGCCTTAGGTGGGGATGATGGGGTGGAGCGAGAAGTCTCACACATCCTGGGGCTAGCGCGAGGGCAGTTGGGGACCGCATCACAAATGTGTAATTTGACGTTTGGGCATCAATTCAATAAACATTTATTAAGCGTCTGCGGTGTGCCAGTTACAGTGTTAAGCATTAGCAGTCTTCTCCATAAGGATGGGTTTGCAATTTCTCCCCTTGCCTTTAGGAGGTGAACAGTGATTTTTTGTTCAGGTAGAGGGTACACTTGTTGACTGTGAAGTCGGTTTTGCCCTCCAGGGAAGTGCCTTGGGACACCTTGGGGACTTCATTCCGGTGAAGGAATGTATGGTTGCAGCATAGACTTGGCATCTTTTTGGTGGAGGCAGTGATTTGCCCCTGGGTTTTTTTGGGGGGTGGGGAGAAGGGATAAATGCTGACTGAATTTAGCTCTTGGTAAAGTTTAATGTAGATAATTTTCTTCTGGAAAAACCGCTCCTTTCTTTCCCTGGTCTAGTTACAGTATCACTCTCCAGGGCCTCTCACCACTCTCCCTGTGGTTGCAGTCCTTTGCAATGTGTATTTGCCTTTTGTGTATGTGTGTGTCTCCCTCCCGTTTCCCTGCTTGCTGCACTTTTGGCAGCTGCCTGTGCTCTTTCCCAGAGATGGTTGTGGCATTGCATCAGGGGGTATTTGTGCTTGTAATTTGGTCATCCGGCCCAGGATAAGGGAAAAGCATTTGCTACATATTCTGGCTCCCACCCTCTCCCTCCCCCAGGCTAGGGAAAAATGGGTGTGGTGAGTAGATACAGCTGACTCTGGGCCTATAGGGTAACACTGCCCAGTCATCAGCGGAGAGAGACTCAAACACAAGTAGCTGCAGCTATTTTTATCAATCGGTCTTGAATCCAGGCTGAGCGGTTGGATTTAGGGGGACCAGTTGTCATACTTCAACTGTTAGTAGAAGAGATTCTGAGTTGCTAAGCCTGATGAGACCCAGCAAACTTTGTCCCTACCTCTAATCGCTAGATCTCTGCTCTGATTGCTGTGGGCCCTTAGGGTTGAACTACTCTGTTGAGGCTTTACTTAAATTGATAAGATTTAATGTCCCATTCAAGTTAACATACTTCATTTTTTGGGGGAAAACAACTTTTCTTAAATTTTAACTCAGTTTGATAAACTTAAGAAAGTTTTTTTTTAAACAAAGTCATTCTCTGGGCCTCTAATCCCATCTAACCAAACTCAATAGAGACTGATTTATAAACCAGAACTTCTGATTTATTATCTTATGATGGAAGACATACCTGTCATAAAGACCACAATTGTACATATGTACTAAGACGGGTATCTCCTTCCTTTTAGGAAGTATAATTAATAATCAGAATGTTGTTTGATGAGTATGAAATTAGAGCAGAGGGAGCTGGCTGTCCTGAAGGGATATTCTCATCTATCTCCTAGCTTGGTGAGTCATACATCTCCATTAGAGGAAGAGACCTATCACACACAGGAATGCTTGGGTGTTTCTTGGTTAGGGTACTGTCTCCTGGGAACACTACTGAGAAGACACAATTTTTTTCCCAGATGATGTTATGCTTAGAGGAAGATAGTCATTATTATGATGAAGGGCCCTGAAACCATGGGTCAGTTGAAGGAAATGGAGGGAGGGGGTGATAATCTGGAGAAGAAGAGATTTGGGGACCAGGTAGGGGTGGACATTGTTTGCCTTTAAATATTTGAAGGGTTGTCCTGCAGAAGGGTTAAATTTATTCTGCTTAGCCCAAGAGGGCAGAATTAGGAGCAGTGGGTATAAATTCTAGAGGCAGATATCTTTTCACTGACTGTAGTCTTTCTGTAATTGTTAATGTTAAATATGATCTTTGACATCACGTTTTTAATATCAGGGACAAAAGGGTTGATTTTTTAAAATAGACAGTTGAGTGTATGGGAACATCTTGATACTGGAGGCCATTTTGGCTGCTTATTTAACTTGATCAGTTTGAAAAGGAAACCAAATAAGTCTCATTGGTTTCATATTGTTCTCTTTGGCATCCTGCTTTTATAAAAGTTTGGTGTCATCCTTCATCCTTACTGCTGATGTTAATTGTGTCGAGGACAGTGAGGGCAGAAGAGGGATATTAACAGCTTATTTGAGATGTATAGGCAGATTATACTCATTTACTTGTTTAGTTCTCTCGGCTAACTTGCTGATATAAATATTTCAATTGAGTATTATGGAATTTATGTGGAAATTTTAAATCATAAAAATCAGTCTAGTTTTTTGTTAGTACAAGTTTGAGAAGAGAGTTTTGCCACTAGAAATCAATTCCTGTGATTCTTCAACAGTCCAAGGTCATTTAGAATGTCTTTTAAGAGATAATTAATTTCCATATCTTTTACCTGGTTGGGGATTAAATTGTCATGTAAGGCTGTTTGTTTTTAAAGCACTTTGTACTCATAATTTTAAACAAATCTTTATGGATAAAGGGATTTTTAATCTATTTCTCAGCCGCAGTAGAGAGGTGAGGTAACTTGGCCTAGGCCAGGCACACAAAGTCAGTGACTACAACTAAGATTGGTGCCTTCTCAGTCCTGTGCTTTTTTTTTTTTTTTGAGGCAAAGCAGTCTCTTCTGTATCAAATAACTGACCAACAAGTCAACATTGTCAGTATGGATAAGGTCTCCCTTCCTGGTGGGATAGCCTCTTTCAACTAGAAAAGTTTTTGGTTTTCAGCCAGTTGTTTCAGCTAAAAGTTTTTAAAAATTAGCATGAGAGTGAGAGAATCAGCAGAATTCTCGTTCTGGACTTTTCCCTAATAATAAATGTTATTGAATTCATAGACAGAATTGGAAGGGACCTTAAAGCTTGTCATGGTCAGCTCCTGACCTGACTTTGGCTTGAACACCTCCAGTGACCATGCAAGCCATTCTATTTTCAGATAGCTATGAGTGCGAGTTCTTTTCCTATGTTGACCCAATATCTATTTCCATCCTAAGTTCTCTGAACATTGGTCCTTGTTCTGCTGTCTGGAGCTGCACGTATGTTTAATCCTACTTTTACATGACTACTTTTCACATTTAAACACAGTGATCAAGTTTCTCATCTATTTTATCCAGGCTAAACATTCTTACTTTCTTTAACTCTTCCTCATATGATTCAATTTTGAGACATTTTGGTTGTTTCCCCCTCCATGTCCTTCTTCAAAGCTAGTCCCCAGACCTGAACTCCTTGCTCCACCTCTGGTTTGACTAGTGTAAAGTATATCGGGACCACCACTACTTTGTTCTAAATATCGTACTTGTATAGTTGATTTTATGAACTTAAGTGTGGGATTTGCATTTGTTCTTATTACATTCCTTGCTTTTTTAGTTTTGGCCCATTTTTACAAAACTCTGAAGATTGTCTTTTGAATTGATGGCTTATTGTCCCTCTCCCTCCCTTCTATCATCTCTTCCCCTGTGCTTCCATTAATATTTTCGCTTTCACTTTGTCAGACTGCCTGAAATTCCACCAAGGAGAGGTTGTTAATAGTAACTTAATTTTATGTATGGCTTCCAAGTCCTTTTATCACAACAGCACTGTGAAGTTGGTAGTTCAAGTATTACTTTCCTATTTTAAAAAGATTAAGTGAAATGTCTGATTTCATTTATGTGGGAACTCGTTTTATTAACAGAGAACAAAAATGGTCCGTGACTTAGCAGATAAGCCTAGGGAGTTGCTTTAGATACACAGATTACCCTAGCTGAGGAATGATTTGAATCCAGGCTAACCTGACTGAAAGACTAGCAATCAATCAATCAGTCAATCAACAAGCATTTATTAAGTACCTAAGAGTTTGCTAGGCTTGGGAATACAAAGCCAAAAGAGTTGACTCTGCCCTCAAGGAACTTGCTGCATTTTCTACACTTGTAAGTGTAGTAAGCTCATTGAGGGGATACACTAGAAATTGGGGGATCAGAATAAGTCTCATAAAGAAGGTGGCTCTTGAGCCAAGTTTTGAAGGGAATTAGAAATTTTAGCATTTGGAGATAAGGGGGCAGTGCCTTCTAGTCATGAGGGGCAGTGTGCACGGTCACCAAAGTTGGAGTTGGTGGGGTGTTCAGGGAATAGCAAAGTGTCCAGATGGGCCAGAGAGTGCTTAAAGAAGTATGATGTACAGTAAGTCTGAAAAGGTAGGAGGAGGGCAGGTTAGGAAGGGCTTAAACTTACATTGGAGGTTGTTCTGGGTTCTAGAGGTAGCCTGGAACCACTGGAG